TTTCTGTCATGATCCCATCAGTTCCAGCTGCTTTACCCCCTTTCATTCTACGTAATGCCTCACGTACCTCCACCACACTTACATTCTGCTCTTCTTCACTCCTAAAAGATGGTATACCTCCCTGGCCAGTGCATGAAATTACCACCTCCCTTTCTTCCTCAACATTTAAAAGTTCCTCAAAATATTCTCGCCATCTACCTAATACCACCCTCTCCCCATCTACTAACTTCCCTACTCTGTTTTTAACTGACAAATCCATACTTTCCCTAGGCTTTCTTAATTTGTTTAACTCACTCCAAAATTTTGTCTTATTTTCATTAAAATTTCTTGACAGTGCCTCTCCCACTCTTTCATCTGCTCTCCTTTTGCACTCTCTCACCACTCTCTTCACCTTTCTTTTACTCTCCATATACTCTGCTCTTCTTATAACACTTCTGCTTTGTTAAAACCTCTCGTAAGCTACCTTTTTCTCTTTTATCACACCCTTTACTTCATCATTCCACCAATCACTCCTCTTTCCTCCTGCCCCCACCCTCCTATAACCACAAACTTCTGCCCCACATTCTAATACTGCATTTTTAAAACTATTCCAACCCTCTTCAACCCCCCACTACTCATCTTTGCACTAGCCCACCTTTCTGCCAATAGTCGCTTATATCTCGCCCGAACTTCCTCCTCCCTTAGTTTATACACTTTCACCTCCCTCTTACTTGTTGTTGCCACCTTCCTCTTTTCCCATCTACCTCTTACTCTACCTGTAGCTACAACTAAATAATGATCCGATATATCAGTTGCCCCTCTATAAACATGAACATCCTGGAGCCTACCCATCAACCTTTTATCCACCAATACATAATCTAACAAACTACTTTCATTACGTGCTACATCATACCTTGTATATTTATTTATCCTCTTTTTCTTAAAATATGTATTACTTATTACCAAATCTCTTTCTACACATAGCTCAATTAAAGGCTCCCATTTACATTTACCCTGGCACCCAAATTTACCTTACTACTCCCTCCATAACATTTTTATCCACTTTAGCATTGAAATCCCCAACCACCATTACTCTCACACTTGATTCAAAACTACCCCATGCATTCACTCAACATTTCCCAGAATCTCTCTCTCCTCTACACTTCTCTCTTCTCCAGGTGCATACACGCTTACTATAACCCACTTTTCACATCCAATCTTTATTTTACTCCACATAATCCTTGAATTTATACATTTGTAGTCCCTCTTTTCCTGCCATAGCTTATCCTTCAACATTATTGCTACTCCTTGTTTAGCTCTAACTCTATTTGAATTTGCTCATATCACTAGTAATTCCCTCATCAAGGTCATTGACATATTTATTTATTTATTCATTTATTTATTTAGTAATTTGAGCATACATACAGAGGTACAAAAAAAAAAAATACAGGTAAGAGCAGCATGCCAAAGCCACTTGTATGCACAGCATTACGGGCTGGTTTAAAATTAACTTAAGATTAACTAAGTAATGATGTAATCAGTGATAAAATATTATTGTAAACAGATAACAATAAAGTACAAATGAGTATTACAAAGACAGGTCATATGGTTGCATGCATTGCTGTACATTCAGTCGAATGGAGTATTCTGTTAGGTAGTGTATTTAAAAAATAAAAGTTAGATTGGGGCTTAAGTTTAACATTTATGTGATATAATTGTGAGAAACATTTAAGATATACAATTTATAAGGTTCAGTTATTCAGTATTTATTTGGTTTTGGGTGAGTAAGTGATCTTTGAGAAGAGACTTGAATTTATAAAACAGGTGGTGTTTCTTTCATATTTACAGGTAATGAATTCCAGATTTTAGGGCCTTTTATGTGCATTGAGTTTTTGCATAGCGTGAGATGGACACGAGGAACATCAAAGAGTGATCTGTGCCTTGTGTTATGGTCATGTGTTTTGTTGAGGTTGACAAGGAGATGTTTGAGGAGAGGGTTAATATCAGAGTTAAGTGTTCTATGTATGTAATAGGTGCAGTAATAAGTATGGATGTTTTGTATGGTGAGTAGGTTTAGTGTTTTGAATATTGGTGGAGTGTGCTGCCTGTAGTGGGAATTTATCATCATTCTGACTGCAGCCTTTTGTTGGGTAATTAGTGGTCTGAGATGATTAAGTGTTGTTGAGCCCCATGCGCAAATTCCATAGGCGAGATAGGGGTAAATAAGAGAGTGATATAGGGCCAGGAGGGCTGACTGTGGAACATAGTACCGTATCTTCAATAGTATGCCTACGATCTTGGAAATTTTCTTAGAAATTTGTTGTATATGTTTATGAAATTTGAGTCTATTATCAAGGTGGATTCCTAAGCATTTTCCCTTTGTTAGCTTTGTGATAGGTGATCCATTTAACAGGCCCAAGACTGATCCCTGCGAAACGCCACTTGTTACAGATCCCCACTCGGATTGAACCGCATTTAAGCATGCTCTCTGCTTCTTACTGGTGAGCCATGGCTCGATCCATAACAGCACACTTCCCCCAATGCCATGAGCTGCCACTTTCTTTAACAGTCTCTGGTGCAGTACTCTATCAAAAGCCTTACTAAAATCTAAATAAACAATATCGAATTCTTTGTGATGATCAATGATCAACGGCCCCAAAAGCTTTACTGAAGAAGGTTAATAAATTAGTTAGGCAGGCACGGTCCCTCGTGAATCCATGCTGAGTATCATTAATCAAATTATGGTTATCCAGATGGCTTCTTATATCAGCTATAATTGACTAGTAATTTGCCTACAACTGAGGTTAGGCTTATTGAGCGGCAATTCGATGGTAACGACTTGTCCCCTGCTTTAAAAATAGGAATTACATTAGCCATATTCCACATAAAAGACACTACACCTGTTTGAAGAGAAATATTTAAAATATTAGTCAATGGGGAAGTGGAGCAGAATTCTTCCTCCGTAAGCCATGCGTGTTGTAAGAGGCGACTAAAATGCCGGGAGCAAGGGGCTAGTAACCCCTTCTCCTGTATAAATTACTAAATTTAAAAAGAGAAACTTTTGTTTTTTTTGTTTTTGGGCCACCCTGCCTCGGTGGGATGCAGCCGGTTTGTTGAAAGAAGAAGGTTCACAAAGTTCCATTTTGTACTCTTTAACCCTTAAACGGTCCAAATGTATATATACGTTCACTTATGCTCTCAGTGGCCCTTATACACCCAACAACAACACAATACCTCTCGTGACATACATAATAACTTATTTTATTCCATGTTTCTATGTTATTAATATTGTTTATTATGTCATATTAGTTGAATTGTGATAGATAAATAAGCTGTAGAGTTGATAGTGTCATACTCTCCAACAATAAACTCGCCTCCCCTCCCTCTGCCCCGTCTGCCATACACCAATAAGAGTCTTCAATAAAGGCAAGTGTGATGTTAAATGTTCATTTATACATTTTATTAGCGCTTTACATTTATTTGGCATTCTTTTCTGCATTTTTTATTTTTTTTTTTTTTTTATTATCACACTGGCCGATTCCCACCAAGGCAGGGTGGCCCGAAAAAGAAAAACTTTCACCATCATTCACTCCATCACTGTCTTGCCAGAAGGGTGCTTTACACTACAGTTTTTAAACTGCAACATTAACACCCCTCCTTCCTGCATGTAAATCTATATTTAAGCTGGGGAAGTGGCTAGAGAAGTGACCTAGAGTCCTTATGGAGGAGGATTCCCCTTCCAAACAATACCCTCTCTTCCCTCTCTCCTCCTCCCTGTCTTCCATTTATCAACAACAGCCTTCAATAAAGGTAACTATCATGTTGAATGTTCATGCTTTCGTGCATGTAAATCTATCTTTAAGGTAAAAAAAAATTTTCTTGATACTTCTGGGTGTCTGGACGAATTAATTGGATTTACATTATTTCTTATGGGGAAAATGGATTCGCAAATCATCAATTTCAATAACAGTCACACTCTCTGGAACGAATTAATTACTTAAAACGAGGGTCCACTGTACCTTTATTGAAGATGTGGTGATGAGTGATGAGACACTGTCCTGGGAGTGCCTTTTCCTCCAAAGTAATGTAGGTCCTGTTTGGCATTTTCTTCCAGAACAGGCCTTATCAAACTGTGTATGCCACTACGATTCTTAAATCTCTCAAACCAACCTTTGCTGGCCTTAAATTCACCAATATGAGCACTAGTTTCAAGCATTTTTTCCTGTTCACCTGGGTGTTAGTCAACTGGTGTGAGTCGCAACCTAGGGGACAAGATTAAGGACCCCAATCAAAATAAGTTAGACAGTCCTCAATGACACACTGACTTTCTTGGGTTATCCTGGGTGGCTAATTCTCTGGGGTTAATTGTTTCTCGGTATTCTCGATAAGCCACACCAACAAGAGTCTCTCCACATCTTCGAGTAGTACAGCTGACCGTGGTGCAGCAGCGGCTGACCGTGGTACAATAGTATTTCTCACCCTTTTTACCACAGGATTGGCACTAGAAGCTTTCTTTGGGCCCATGGTGGCTTATTTAGCAGTTACAAGCACTAAAAACACTGGAATAATACAAAATTTATCGAATGTATGCGTGCAACTGTCTGCCCTAGCTTGTAAATAATGTCACACTAGCTCAGCCGAGGCGCTCAGGCCAGACAGCCGCATTCGGGACGAATGATGTAAGTTGAGTTTTTAAACGTAAGTCGGGGTCAAATTTTTACGCTGACAAGCATCGTAAGTCGGTTTTATCATAGGTTGAGGCCATCATAAGTCGGGGGTCCACTGTAGCTGCCCGAAATGAACAACATGCTACTGACTTTCTTTTGTGCTTAACAATATTTTATTACATGTGAACTACATTTTGTATAATGTATAAAGAAATAAAGTTTGTTTGTTTGTTTGTATCAGTATTGGTGGGTATCAGCTAATTTTGATGGTATCAGTCTAAAACTGAGTATTGGTGTCGGCAAAAACTTTGGTACCATCCCATCCTTAATTCAGATCAAGTATGCAAATAATACCTGTACTGATTGTTTGGTGTAAATTTATTGCCCCAAGAAAACAGCCTCTCCTGTTTTCCAGCTCTGCAAGCACGTTCCCACTCAGCTTCTGTAGGGAGTCGCTTGTCCATCCATGTGCAAAAAGCTACTGCATCATTCCAAGACACATGAACAACTGGATGATCCATACGATCTGGAAATAAACACAAAAGTTAAATATGAAGTACCTGTACAAAAAGAATCTATGCTTAACATGAAAGAACAAATCTAAAAGCAAAATATAACTTCACAGTGAATAGACAAGTGAAATGTTGTAAATCCTACTTTACAGAGTACATGATAGGAACAGGTAACCTCTGACCCTGTGTTTGGGTTAAAATAGTGAATTTGAGGCATTTTCTAGAGTGGTTTTACTGGCTGTTTCTTGTGTCAGTTGATGGACTGGAAGACACTATTATAATGGAGATGGTGGGTTTTAAACTGTAAGTTCCTCATGTCCATCTCACGCTATACAAAAACTCAATGCACATAAAAGGCCCAAAAATCTGGAATTCATTACCTGTGAATATAAAAGAAACACTGTCTGTTTATAAATTCAAGTCCTCTTAAAAATCACTTACTCACCCACAACTAAATAAATATTGAATAACTGTATCTCATAAATGTATAACCTGTGACCCTATCAAACTTTGTTTATTTTTTTAATTACATTACCTAATAGAATACTCCATTACTGAATGCACAGCAACTCAGTAAATGACCATATGACCTGACTTTGAAATACTCATTTGTGCTTAATTGTTATTTGTTTACTATATTTTTTACCACTGAATATATCATTGCTTAGTTAATCTTAAGTTAATTTTAAGCCTGCCCATAATGCTCTGCCCATAATGCTTCTTTGTACATCTTTGTATCATGTCCAAATTAAAAATAAATAAATAAATAAATAAATAAATAAATAAATAAAAAACAGAACTTGAAGAGGCAGAAATATTAATTTTTGTTGTGATTTTCTTGAGGAGTACAGGGCAATCACCTGCTCTAACCCCCCTCCACCCAGTTTGTTTTATGGGCTTCTACTAGGTCTGCTTCAATTACTTGGATGGCCTAGACTATGACCAATCATTCTTGGTAATATTTTATTAGCAGAGATTTTTGTGTAATGACGAATTCAAAATGGAGGGCAAATGTTATATAGGAGAAGCCTGGGGATATGATTAATGAATGAAGAAAAGGCTACTTTAGCAGATGGAATGCCTAACATGCTTATTTTGAACTCTTGTTGTTAAATTGGAATTTTTAAATTTGTGTATAATTTACCAATTATTCAATTTTGAGGTACTTCATGGCTGGTTCAAGATGACTTGAACATGGCAGTTTCTTGTGCTCACTCAACAGAAATGAAGACTATTATTTTTTTTTATTAACACATCAGCCGTTTCTCACCAAGGCAGGGTGGCCCGAAAAAGAAAAACTTTCATCATCACTCACTCCATCACTGTCTTGCCAGAGGCATGTTAACAAAAGTTATAAAATTGCAACATTAAACACCCTTCCTTCAGAGGCAGGCACTGTTCTGCCCATCTCAGGAATCTATGTTCCAGCTGCCAGTTCCCCTGAAATCAATTCAAAAATATGTTACCTTGCATTACACTCCAACAGCAAGTCAAGTCCTAAAAACCATGTGTTCTCCATTGGCTCCTATCTACCACACTTATGCATCTTGCTAGAAGTCCAAGCACCTCGCACTCCAAAACCTCCTTTACCCCCTCCCTCCAACCTTCCCTAGGCCAAACACTACCCTGCCTTCCTCCACTACAGTTTAGTACTCTCTCGAAGTCATTCTATTTCGCTCCTTCCTCTTACATGTCAAACCATCTCAATAACGCCTCCTCAGCCCTCTGGATAATAGTTTTTGTAATCCTACACCTCATTCTAATCTCCAAACTCAGAATTCATGATTTTTCACACCACATGTTGTTCCTTAGACATGACTTCTCCATGCCTCCAGCTTTTCCTTGTTGCAGAACATTCACAACCTTTGCCTCACACCATACAAGAGTGTTGGTTATAACTATACATCTCTTCTTCCCTCTTTGCTTTCATGGTTAAAGTTCTTTGTCTTCTCAGACTCCTCAGTGCACCACTCACCTTTTTCACTTCTCATTTCTGTGATTCAACCTAACCTTCATAGACCCATATGATGACACGTCCCACTGTCCAAATATTCTTGATACACATTCAACCTCCTCCATACTCCCCACTTCTCCTCCAATCTGATATCCTATGTGAGGTCACGTAAATTGTAATGATCGATTGCATAACAATACCTACCAACGGGCGGGATTTGAAAACCCGTGGTCAAGTAGAGTCTCAAAACTCCAGACCGGGCTGAATGTGTCGGTCTGGAGTTTTGATTCTCTACTGACCGCGGGTTCAAATCCGCGTTGAGGTATGGTCTGATATCCATTCTTCTGTTACCTAAATTTTTTTTGTATCCTCGTCACCTTACTCTTTACCTGTATTCATTTTTTAATTTCATTCTTTTACATACCCTACCATAACTCATCAACCACCTTTGCAAATTCTTTTCAGAATCTCCCAAAAGTACAGTGTCATCAGCAAAGGAGCAACTGTGACATCTCTTTGTGTTAGATTCTTTATCTTTTAATCCCACACCTCTTGCAACACCCAAGCATTCACTTCTCTTACAACTCCACTATAAATATATATTGAACAACCACGGGGAATCACAAAACCCTGTCTAAGGGCCTAACTTTTATGGAAATAACCTCCTCTCTCGCCTACCATACTCTAACCTGAGCCTCACTATCCTTGTCAAAACTTTTCACCGCTTTCAATAACCTACCTCCTATTCCATACACCTGCAACATCTGCCATATTGCCCCCTTATCCACCCTATTATATGCCTTTTCCAAATCCATAAATGCCACAAATACCTCTTTACCCTGTTCACCTATATGTTTCACTGCAAACACTTGGTCTACACACCCCCTGTCCTGCTGTCTTACTCTTTAATTCTTTCAATAATAACTACCATACACTTTACCAGGTATATTCAACAGACTTATTCCCCTATAATTTTTACACTCTCTTTTGTCCCCTTTGCCTTTATACAAAGGAACCATGCATGATCTCTGCCAATCCCTAGGTACCTTACCCTCTTCCATACATTTATTAAATAAAAACTCACCACTCCAAAACTATATCCCTGCCTGCCTTTTACATTTCTATCTTTATCCTATCAATCCCAGCTGCTTTACTCCCTTTCATTCAACTCACTGCCCCACACACCTCCCCCCACACTCAAAACTGGTTCTTCCTCACTCCTATAAGATGTTATTCCTCCTTGCCCTATACATGAAATCACAGCTTCCCTATCTTCATCAACATTTAACAATTCCTCAAAATATTCCTTCCACCTTCCCAATACCTCGAACTCTCCATTTAATAACTCTCCTGGTGAAATATGAAAATGGAATTGGCCTAAAATAGGCTTGAAAGTGGGCAAAATTGCAGCTGTATACAGTTCTCCTAGACTTCCAACTTTGCAGCTGCATAGTTTCATAAGTTTTACATCAAATTTTGCATTTTTGGTGTCATTGTCTTGAGAAAAAGATTCTCTACTATTTTAGATCCGCAATGCTGACAGTGTTAGTGCCATGTGATGAAGTTAATGTCTTTCATGGTATAAATTATTTTTACCATCAGTTTCTCTGAGGAGCTCACAAAGGTTCTTAAATATTAAGCCCTAAATGTAGCCATAATATCTTCACCCATTAGCTGAATTATTGTTATCATATGCATAGAAACAAACTGAACCCTGTCATGTTGAAGGTCAATCAGGTTAGTGGATGGCATACATTTTTCAGGCATGAATTATCAATATACAAGTTTTTATTCAGATTCAATACACAAGTTGCATTTTTACAATTTTCTTAAATGTTCATATGCAAAAATTAACCAAGGATAACTCCATAAAGTTAAACACTTTGACCAATTTCCCCAGAGAAATACGTACATAGAGAAAATCTTTAAAAATAGTTATAGCTCCCCAAGGTTTCTTGTTTAATTCCTAAATTACATAAACATTGGGTGTAAAATAGCCTTAGGCATTTCAAAATGGTAAACTAACAGTACCAGTGAATTGTCACCCAAGAGTAGAGCAAAATGCTATACTCAGCCTTCCTATCTTTCCCATAATTATAACATGTTTAACTGCAAGGCCCATTTTTTCATGGAAGAGCAATCACCAAGTGTTCCATAGTTTTGCTGACCTTTGCAGGAGCCAGGTGGCCAATATCAGTCAAGGTGTGTCACGTAAATAATACTAATAAATATTAATAATATTAATATTTTTGTAAAGGAACTTCCAGGGAAAGGCGTCCGCAGTGAGTCAAAGAAAGCCTGTATGTTACATAGGAGGATTGACGGTGCCTTTTTTCTGGGTCATATTCAAGATTTCAAGGACGTCTAAACTTCTACTTACACTTGGCAGCAGACATGATGTAATGATGTGTAAGTGTCTTTTTCAGTCCCCTGTTCTTTGTGAGATGGCCAGCGTCTGTTGTTAAATTATATAATTTATTCAATTAATTTTGGAAGTTTTTCAGATTGTTTAACACTCAGTGATGGTACAGCTGTAGAGGCCCCTAGTTAGCAAAGGCTTTTCAACGACCCTTCTCCGTATATTCCTGTGAAAATTAAAATGGAAACTTAGTCATACAAATTTTGAACTAAAGCATCCAAATTTCGATAACAACCCATCCAATTTAAAAAACAAATTCCTTGCAGCAATATTTAGTTTTTACAAAGGAATTCAGACGAAATGTAGTGCAATTGAGACTCGGAGGTGGGACACGGAAATTGACGTAAAACCGGTTAGGATACATGCGTCAGAGGGACATCAAAATTCGACTTACCTCTGCAGTGATAGTGAATCTGGTCCTAAGGATGCTCTTCATTAGCCCCTTCCTGGAGCCAGAGCCAGCGGTAAAACATCATTTATATAGTGATTTACTGCTTCGATAATTCTCCCTCCAGTACAAACGAGTCACCAAACTTCTCAGCCTGCATAGTTTACAGATGTATATTGGATATCATGTGCATAATTTTGTTGAAAAACAATCCTGGAAATAAAAATTAATATGTTTAGCAATTTAAATATTGTACTTTGTTGTAACAGTAGTGCAAGCGTGCGTGAGCGTGTTAGATAGGAGTGAATGGAGACGAATGGTACTTGGGACCTGACGATCTGTTGGAGTGTGAGCAGGGTAATATTTAGTGAAGGGATTCAGGGAAACCGGTTATTTTCATATAGTCGGACTTGAGTCCTGGAAATGGGAAGTACAATGCCTGCACTTTAAAGGAGGGGTTTTGGGATATTGGCAGTTTGGAGGGATATGTTGTGTATCTTTATATGTGTATGCTTCTAGACTGTTGTATTCTGAGCACCTCTGCAAAAACAGTGATAATGTGCGAGTGTGGTGAAAGTGTTGAATGATGATGAAAGTATTTTCTTTTTGGGGATTTTCTTTCTTTTTTGGGTCACCCTGCCTCGGTGGGAGACGGCCGACTTGTTGAAAAAAAAAAAAAAAAAATTATAGATGGGGTTGTACAAGAAGTAAATGCTAGAGTGTTCGGGAGAGGAGTGGGATTAAATTATGGGGAATCAAATACAAAACGGGAATGGACACAGTTACTTTTTGTTGATGATACTGTGCTTATGGGAGATCCTAAAGAAAAATTGCGAAGGTTAGTGGATGAGTTTAGGTGTGTGTGTGTAAAGGTAGAAAGTTGAAAGTGAACACAGAAAAGAGTAAGGTGATGAGGGTATCAAAGGATTTACATAATGAAAAATTGGATATCAAATTGGAGAGGAGTAGTATGGAAGAGGTGAATGTTTTCAGATATTTGGGAGTTGACGTGTCAGCGGATGGATTTATGAAGGATGAGGTTAATCATAGAATTGATGAAGGAAAAAGGGTGAGTGGTGCGTTGAGGTACATGTGGAGACAAAAAAAGTTATCTATGGAGGCAAAGAAGGGAATGTATGAAAGTATAGTGGTACCAACACTCTTGTATGGGTGTCAAGCTTGGGTTGCAAATGCTGCAGCGAGGAGACGGCTAGAGGCAGTGATGTCGTCCTGTGTAAGGGCAATGTGTGGTGTAAATATTATGCAGAAAATTCAGAGTGTGGAAATTAGGAGAAGGTGTGGAGTTAATAATAGTATTAGTCAGAGGGCTGAAGAGGGGTTGTTCAGGTGGTTAGGTCAGTTAGAGAGAATGGATCAAAGTAGAATGACATGGAGACCGTACAAATCTGTAGGGGAAGGAAGGTGGGGTAGGGGTCAGTCCTCGAAAAGGTTGGAAGGAGGGGGTAAAGGAGGTTTAGTGGGCGAGGGGCTTGGACTTCCAGCAAGCGTGTGTGAGTGTGTTAGATAGGAGTGAATGGAGACAAATGGTATTTGGAACCTGACAAGCTATTGGAGTGTGAGCAGGGTAATATTTAGTGAAAGGATTCAGGGAAACTGGTTATTTTTCTATAGCCGGACTGGAGTCCTGGAAATGGGAAGTACAATGCCTGCACTTTGAAGGAAGGGTTTGGGATACTGGCAGTTTCGCTTCGCTTCGAGGACGACGAGAGCTGTCGTAAGATGGGAAGGAAGAAGGATAAGGAAGGATGGAAATAACTGGAAAAGGATGGGAAGGAGGGAAGAGGAGAATCAAGGCAAGTGGCCCAACCACTTTGGGACATGTGGTACAAAAGTACTGGAGACGTAGATAGAGAGACTTGACTGATGTCATTGCTTGGCTCACTAGGAGAGGATGGCGAAGGCAGCGGCAGGAGCTGGGAGTGTCAGAAGGCAGCAAGCAGGATGAGTTGGTTATGGTCTTAAACCGTTTATCAGTGCGGTAAATTGTTTTCGAGAGAGTTGTATCACACTTATGGGAGAGCTGTAGTAGGATTCGTTGGTTTGGAGGTGGTGGAGTATCTGGTTGTAGGTAGGTAATGGTCTTTCTTCGCTTTGGTACGTTACAGTGTTGTCTTGGAGATGTTGGATGAGTTCTAGGCGAGTCATGCTTGCAGGGTATAGCCTCGTGGTGTAGAATACGAGTCCTTTGTGTTTAAAGCATGGTGTTTCAGGTAATCGACGTGAGCTAAGTAGAGAAGGCGGTGGTGGAGTAGAGGAAGGTGGCGTTGCTTCATTTTCAACTTCAGTAGACGAATTAGAAGATGTTTCTGGTGGTAAGGCTTCTGATTGGTTGGATTCAGTGAGAGGTGGTGGCGGTGGAGGCTTCTCATTGGTCATTGCTGGAGTGACGTCACTAGTTGGTGGTGTTGATGGGACTTCTGCAGAAGACTTGGCGATTAAGTTTTTGGTGAATTTGAGAATTTCTTCAGAAGGTGGAGATGCTGGAAATGTAAATGAAGGCATGTTATTTAATGCAAATAACTCGTTGATGGTAGAGTTAAATGATCCAGGTACAGCCATGTTCTGCATGTGAGCGTATAGTAAGCAGTAGTAGATCTTGGTTACGTCACATGTTGGAGGAGTGATGATGGTGGAGGCGGGCTGAGTAGATGCTTGAAGTAATTTTGTAGTGTTTGCTTGTATCTTTGCAATTGCTGCATACGTTGGAGTGTTGCTTGTAGGTTTTTTCTTTGCTGCATCTTGTGTTTTCTTCATAATATCCTTTCTTGTAGGACATTTTGCTGCCAGTGTATGGTGGTCATTACTCTTGCAGTTTAAGCACGCTGGATGTGATGGAGCAGCAGCGGTGCAGGAACTGAAGGTGTGTCCCTCACTACCACATGTAGTGCAGAACTTCTTTTCTTTTACTGGACATGCTTTGGTGGTGTGATGGTATGAATAACAGTTCCAGCAATGTTGAATGTAGTGGTATCTCTTGCTTCAATGTACGTAGGACTGATACAGTAGTAGACAGCAAGACCTTCGTTCAGAGCAGTGGCAGCCATGTTCACGTCGGTGAAGGTGACCTTGAGCATGGACGTTGCATTTGGGATTTTTGTAATGCTGTCAACAGTAGCCCAAGTATTTTGCGTCTCGATGGATGACTTGAGTTCAGCAGTTGATTGAGAAGTCAGAATCTTGTCAAGTTTTTTAAGGAATACTGATTTCCTTGCCCTGAGGGCAGGAGATGATGTAACAGTAAACCCTTGAGCAGTAAGAGTAGTGGTGGCTTCTGTAGTAAGTAACTTCTCTGCTTCAGCATCATCGTGACACACAAAAATGAATGCTTCTTTCAGTGACAATATGGTGTTGAATTTTACTTCCAGTGCTACCTGAACAACAGTTGCAAGAGCAATCTTCGTTGAATCATCAACTGTACCATTTCTTGGTTTGATCTTTACACGATTTGTGTAGCTCATCGTGTAATTCAAGGCGATGACAACGCTGGTAAAGGTTCCCCTCCCCAACGGGGATCGTAGGGAGACAGAGTAAGTAAGGAGAGCTGCTATGACCTGCCTGGGCGAGAGTCAAGAGCAGAATCATTTGTCAATTTTCGATACTGGCAGTGGAGGGATATGTTGTGTATCTTTATACATATATGCTTGTAAACTGTTGTATTCTGAGCACCTCTGCAGACACAGTGATTATGTGTGAGTGAGGTGAAAGTGTTGAATGATGATGAAAGTATTTTCTTTTGCGGGATTTTCTTTCTTTTTGGGTCACCCTGCCTCGGTGGGAGACGGCCAACTTGTTAAAAAAAAAAAAAAAAAATTACTCTACTGTAACTAGATCATTCTAGAACATTCAACCCAATGATAAAAATAGGGCTAGTTGCTTGTTACAATAACTAAGGACTACATAATCAACATATGCTGCAAATTAAAATCCTTTCCTGAGAGAGCTCCAAAAATAACAAAAAGGCACAATACCGTGACTGCAATGATACACAAATAACCCGCACATAAAAGAGAGAAGCTTGCGACGACGTTTCGGTCCGACTTGGACCATTGACAAAGTCACACTAATAGAGGTGGAGCAGGACGGCTATATATAGGCAGGAAGAGGTGGAGGTAGTAGTAGTAGTAGTAGCAATAGTAGTAGTAGTAGTAGTAGTAGTAGTAGTAGTAGTAGCAGTAGTAGTAGTAGTAGTAGTACAAGAATTGTATATAATACCGACAAGATGAAATCAAGACACATGCACAACACCCGGGCATCCCCATCGTAGACGTTTCGCCATCCAGCCAGCCACTGGATGGCGAAACGTCCACAACAAAGACAACCAGACGCCGCACATGTGTCTTAATTTCATCAGTAGTTGTAGTAGTAGTAGAAGAAGAAGAGGTAGTAGTAGTGGTAGTGGTAGAAGTGGGAAATAAGGATGACGAGCCAGTCAAAAACAAAGGAAGAGGAGCACTGCAAGAGAGCTAGATGCCCACAGAGGGAGAGCAAGCGCACAGAGGTGCATGAAAGGGGAAGTGGTGAAATAAAATAAATGAAGAAGGAACAGAAACACGAGACAGGAGAAAGACAACCCAGAGGAGAAAAGGAAAGAGGAAAGGGGAAGAGGAAGAAGAAAAAGAAAGAAAAAATGAGGATTCAGGTTAAGTCACGGGTGTTCTGAAGTTTGGAGCATTTTACAATGTAGTGGGAGAGGAAGGCATCTACAGAGACGAAGCCAGGGCTAAGGTTCATACAAGGAAAGTTGTGTATTAGAGAGGATTCAACTAGACGGCGACTGTTCGAGTTGGAAGTAGGGAAGACAGTTTTAGCAGAAGACCAGTCAATAGGATGGCTATGATCTCTGACGTGACAGAAAAGAGCATTGTTAGTGTCGGCAAGCCTAACACTATTTTTGTGCTCCTTAAGTCTGTCAGAAAGAGATCGACCAGTTTCTCCGAAGTATTGAAGAGGACAGGAGGAGCAAGAAATAGAGTAGACACCAGGAACATCTGTAGAGGAAGGAGAGGTATGAACGAGATTAGTGCGAAGAGTGTTAGTCTGGCGGAAGGTAAGCTTGATGTCTAAGGGACGGAGAGAATTGTTGAGATTAGAAAGACCGGAAATGTAGGGAAGGCAGAGGATAGAAGAGTTCCCATGAGTAGAGAGTTTGGGAGAGAAGAAATTGCATTTAGCATGTGAGAGGGCAGAGTCTATGAAATGGGAAGGGTAGCCAAGATGGGAGAACGAATTATGAAGAGTGGAAATTTCTGCTGGAAGGAACTGAGGATCACAGACACGGAGGGCACGGAGAAAGAGGGAGATAAGAACACTTTTCTTGACAGGGGAAGCATGATAGGAAAAGTAGTGAATGTACATGCCACTGTGCATAGGTTTACGGTAAACGGAAAAGGAAAAACCTGTATCTGAGTGGTGGACATGGACATCAAGGAAAGGAAGCAAGGAATTAGATTCCCATTCAGCTTTAAACTTAATGGAAGGGGCAAGATTATTAAGAGCTTCAAGAAAAGGTTGGAAGAGACTGGAGTCATGAGGCCACAGAGCAAAGATGTCATCCACACAGCAGAGCCAGAGTGAAGGTTGCACATCGAGGGTAGGAAGAAGAACAGTCTCGAAGTATTCCATGTAAAGATTAGCAAGGACAGGAGAGAGAGGAGAGCCCATAGCGACACCGAAGGTTTGAGAATAATATTTCCCTTGGAAGGAAAAGGAGTTAGAGTCCACACAGAGGCGGATCAGATCAAGAAAGACATCAGTGGGGATAGGGAGATGAAGAAACCCTTCATGGGCCTTCTCTCTAAGGAAATCAAGGACATCATCAAGAGGGACATTGGTGAAGAGGGACTCAACATCAAGACTAAGCATCTTACAGGTTGGGAGAGAGCGAACCCATTCAATGAAGTCTTGAGAGTGACGGAGGTGGGCAGGAGAAAAAGTACCAAGAAAGGGAGTGAGGGTTTTGGCCAGCCAAGAAGCAAGAGAATAAGAGACAGAACCTCTAGAGGATATGATAGGACGAAGAGGAATATCAGGTTTATGAGTTTTGGGAAGGCCATAGAAATAGGGAAGAGAGGGACAGATGACACGAAACCGTTGAACAAGGTCAAAGTCAGGAGCACAGAGGTCAGAGAGAGTCCTTAGTTTTTTGTTGAAAGTTCTCTTGATGCGATCAAGAGGGTTGGAAACGAGAGGAGTGTAGGTGCGTGAGTCAGAGAGCAAGACATCAGCTTTACGGAGGTAATCCTCGCGGTCAAGGATAACTACCGAATTACCTTTGTCAGAAGATAGTATGACAATGTTAGTGTTGGATTTAAGAGAAGAAAGGGCAAGTTTGGTAACGGCGTGGAAGGTGGTGATTCTTGGAAAACAGACTAACAAGAGCAGGAAGGAGAGCACCACGAAAAGTGGACAAGTCAGGAAGATTACGGAAGCGAGATTGACGAAAGGAATCAAAAGAGCTAATCAGGGAAATACCAGCGCGAGGAGTAGGCGAAGTGGCAAAGGAAAGACCAAAACCAAGAAGTTCAAGCTCATATTGAGAGAGTGAGACAGAAGACAGATTAGTAACACAGTCAGTGAGGGAGAATTTAGACCAAGGGCTAGCTGAGATGAGACATTGAAGTTTATTTTGTAGTTTGGAAGAATGAATTTGTGCATTCAGGCAAGCAGTGTCAAAGGCAATGGTAGAGAGAAGGTTACAGAGATCCTGTGGTAGAGCCGCAAAGAGAGCACGTTGACGTTGACGGAAAGTAAAGAAGGCATCTTCAACCTGTGATTTAGTAGAAAGAATGAGCTGTTGAAGTAGGAGACAGGCATGACAGGAAAGGGAGTGCCCCACTTCTACCACTACCACTACCTCTTCTTCTTCTACTACTACTACAACTACTGATGAAATTAAGACACATGTGCGGCGTCTGGTTGTCTTTGTTGTGGACGTTTCGCCATCCAGTGGCTGGCTGGATGGCGAAACGTCTACGATGGGGATGCCCGGGTGTTGTGCATGTGTCTTGATTTCATCTTGTCGGTATTATATACAATTCTAGTACTACTACTACTACTACTACTACCACCTCCACCTCTTTCTGCCTATATATAGCCGTCCTGCTCCACCTCTGTTAGTGTGACTTTGTCAATGGTCCAAGTCGGACCGAAACGTCGTCGTAAGCTTCTCTCTTTTATGTGCGGGTTATTTGTGTATAGAGCTCCAAAGTGATTTATGAATTTACTTATCAGAAAGGATATTACATATTTCGTAATAGTATAAAGGACAGAGGAGCCACCACCATACTACCACACTGCTATCACAAATGCCATAATTTCAAGAACACATAATGATCACTCTAATTTGACTAACTTTTTTTGTCTGAGAAGTTTTTTCCTTGAAGTTTTCCATTATCAGTGGACCCTTGTATTTCATAAGGCTCGAAAGTCGTAATTTTCGAAAATCCTAACTTTTTTTCATCAAAATATTGACTCGCGAATCGTCGCTTGACTCGCAAATAGTCATTCATCCCGAACGCGTACTCACGACCCCAAGCCGCCTTGCACTCCCTTCCCAGCCAGTGCGACATTGTTTACCAGTGAGTGATGATCCCCTCGCTTGTTCATACGAAGTATTTCATAATATTCCATTCATTTTAGTGCTTGCAACTGCTAAATAAGCTACCATGGCTCCGAAGAAAACTCTTAGTGCCATGCCTTTGATAAAGGTGAGAAATATGATTGAATTCAAGAAAAACATTATTGAACAATATGAAAGTGGAGTACATGTGACCGAACTGGCCAGGATGTATAAGAAACCCCATACAACTATAGCTTCCATCGTGGCCAAGAAAAAGGAAATCAAGGAAGCTGTTGTTGCAAAGGGGGTAAATATGCTAACAAAAATGAGATCACAAGTACTTGAAGATGTTGAGAAGCTATTGTTGGTGTGGATCAACAAAAAACAATTAGCAGGAGATAGTCTTATGCAGTCGCTTATTTGTGAAAAGGCTAGGCAGTTGCATAACCGATCTCGTAAAGAAATCCCGCAACAAGTACTGATTTTTGTGAATTTAAGGCCAGCAAAGGGGGGGTTTTGAGAGATTTAAAAACCCGTAGTGGCATACAGTGTGATAAGGCATGGCGAAGCTGCCAGTTCGGACAAAATTACAGCTACAAAATTCGTAAGTAAATTTCAAGGAGTGCATACAGACTGAACAATTAAAACCCCAACAAGTGTTAACTGGGGACGAAACAGGCTCTTTGGAAGAAAATGCTAAAGAGGACCTACAAAACTTGGAGGGAAAAAGGGGCTGCCAGGACACAAGCTATGAAAGACAGGCTGACGCTCATGTTTTGTAGTAATGCTAGGGGGATTTCAAAAGTGAAGCCTGTTACTGTGTGCCATTCTGAAAATCCCAGAGCGTTCAAGAAAAACAGTGTCATGAAGAGTAAATTGTGTGTTTTTTGAAAAGTTAATAATAAGGCATGGGTCACGAGGGAAATTTTGTCAAGTGGTTCAATGAAGTGTTTGGCCCAGTGTGAAGAATTACCTCTGGAAAATAAATTGGCCCTAAAGTGTCTCCTGTAAGGACAATGCACCTGTTTATCCTCCAAACTTGGATGCCCCAAATTCTGGAAGAGTTTGGGTTCATCACAGTAAAGTTCTCCCCTAATCCCACCCCTCTCCTCCAGCCATGGCCCAGCAGTTTCATTTCAATTTAAAAAAACTCTACCAAGCAATGTTGCAAAGGTGCTTTAACCCTTTGAGGGTCGACAGGCCTCCCCGAAACTCGTTATCAGGGTTGGCCAAATTTAAAAAAAAAAAAATTTTTTTTTCTTATGAAAAAATGTTTTTTTTTTAAATATTTTTAGGCTAAAAAAAAAAAATTTTACCGTCAATACTTACCGAGATATGGAGACGTGAAGTTTCCCAAAATTGAACAACATCGGGTTTACATCGCCTACTGCCGTCACCCGGTATTTTTTTATTTCTTTTTATGTACTATTTTCAATTATTTTTCAATTTTTCTTTTTCTGAGTAACTTTTATGGCCTCTGAGGCCAACATGATCAGTATTTTGTAAGTTATTTCTTTTTCAAAACTACACAATAAGGGCGTAAACACTTTTTGTCCTATTTTTTTTTATAGAAAATTTTACACAAACGATATGAAATGTTGCTTATTACTATTTTTCTTTATTTTATAAAAACATATACAGTCACAGGGAATGTTTCTAGAAGTTCGCAGCCTGTGGAAGTCTTTGAAACATGGTGTCATGCACGTGGAGTTTTGCACTCCTCACACATAAAAGAGTGTCTCTGCGTTGTTGGGCATTTTTTTGTTGTGCACAGGACGTAACACCTCTTCTGAGCCTTTTTTCTTGAAAGCAGTAGCAGGCAGTTTACCAAGAAGTGATACCATGCTTAGACGAGCAGGTAGTTGTTGTAATTTGGTGGGGGGGTCAATTGCAGGGCTGTTCCTTGGGTACTTGAATACTATTTGTCTGTGACAGACAAACAGAATTCGCCATACTGTGGTTTATTTTTGGTCCTATCTTATACATATTAAAAGCATTGAGCATGGAAATTTCCAGAAGATGGAAAAACAGTTTGATGTACCACTTATAACTCTTGCGAACACAATCGAAAACCCCCAATCTGCATGTCACATTTGTCCACTGAATGCATGTTGAAGGTGTAATCAATCCAGCTGCAGGTTTTAGAAGGGGTTTCATTGCTCTCTCTATGCTCCCTGCCTGTCTGCCATTTCATTAGGGTGACTGTGACAACCCAGGTGACTTTCTCTTTTGTCATGCCACCGAAATGCCATGATGTCATTGGCAGAAACGCCTGCACCTCACCTCTACGAGTGCCAGCGTCAAACCTGGGCATATGTTTCCGATTTGCACGCACTGTGCCACACACATCTGTCATGTTCACTCGCAAAAAATCACTGAGTGAGGGGCTTGTGTACCGTTATCTGTATATAATATATGCCCTTACCAAAGTATGGTTCTATCATTGTTCTAACCACATCCCCTGAGATGCCCAATAACTTCCTGGTATTTTGCAATGTATAATTTCCCAGTGTACACAATTTAATATCCAATACCAGCCCACTGTAAAAACCCACAAAGCACAAACAACTTTATACCAAAGCGTTTCTTTTGCTTGGTATGTACTGCTTGAAAGAGAGTCTTCCTTTGAACAGAATCAAAGATTAGTCAATTACAAGCTTCCTGAAGGGATAAAATGCGTACTGAATTTCTCTTTCAGATACACAAAAAACATTCCTAATCTTTATAACCTGTCAGTTCTGTCAGGCCTGGTTTTGTCTGGAAGTGAGCATACATAACATTAGCATAAATCGATTCACTGGCATTATATCATTTGAAAATGGGGTTGCAATCAGGCGGTCTGTTGACCAGTATGATTTCACTTTGTGCTTATACACATTGGGCATAAGCATTTTTGTGGCAAAGAAAAGATACATCTCAGCCACGTTGCCTCCTTCCACTGGTGTAGACATGATTTTGGTGAAAGTAATGTGTTTGCCATGGTGTATCGTAGTAGTGTTGCTTTCCATGACAATACTTTCCATCAGTGGTTCTCAAAGAATAATCGAAACATTCAGTTCGTGGCATTGTTCCCAATGTACAAGATGGCCGTATTCCACTTTGGCTGTCATCAAACTGGTGGGCATTTGGAACAAAATTGACAGCTTCCTGCCAATCCCCGGTGGGTTGCTGGTGGGTACTGGACAATGATAGGTGGTTGTGGTTGTGGAGGTTGTGGTTGTGGGTTGTGGTTGTGGGGTTGGGTTGTGGGGGCTGGTGTGGTGGGTGGGTGGGGGGTGGTGGCTTTGTTGTAGATCAGCTGAGGCAGCGGGGTGGTGGCGCGTGGGTGGGAGCGTGGGTGGCGGTGGGTGGGCATGGCCCACTGCTGGTGCCTCACCACCGCACCACTACCACCACGCACATTTTCCATCCCCTTGCAACAGTATCATCGTCATTTTCACTCTCTGTTCCTGTTGTACAGCCAGGGATGTACTCCGAGATGCACTCCCTTCCCCTTGGAATAGCATATGGCACACTACCAGAGCGCATATATCGTCGTATTACTGACGCTTCAAAGGGGAATATTTTCACTTCACTATCACTACTGGAACTAGTTTGAAGAGCTTGTAGTTTTTATTCACTATCACTATCATCACCCCTGCTCTCATCTGATCTGGGATTTGGGAAAATAGAAGTTTCCCCTCGGATTCTGGTACAACTGAACGTGAACAAGACGGCCCAGCACCCGAGGTGGAAGGCTGAGGGTGTCTGGGTTTTCCTCATATTACGATATTATGGTCCTTAGTTTCGGTAAAAACCACACCAAAACCTTGAAACTCATCTTCACTGGCACTTCCATCTGTATTAGAATGTCACTGGGGAACAAAGTGTCCCAATTCGCCCAGGAGTGAGGAGCTTCTTACCGCGAGGCATGGTGGATATTGTTTACTAAGATGGCGTTCCACAATGCACCACTGGGTCCCCGAATTTTTTTCTACGCGCACCACGACCAACACAGACCCATTCTCTCACATGTAGGCCCACCAGCCTTTTCCCGCGAGATTTGACGGTGCTAGAATTTGTACGTACTAGTACGTCAAAACCCCTGCACGTAAGACGTACTAGTACGTCGAAACCCTCAAAGGTTAATGTGACCTCAGACACTCACTTGACCCTAAGAGAGTTTTGGAAAAATCACTTCGTATCCTCCATTGCATAAGCCTCATAGGTAAAGCTTGGGAGGGATTGACTATCAAGACTTTGAAAATCTGCTTGGAGAAAATTGTGGCCAGATTGTGTCCCCAAGAGGGCTTTGAAGGATCTGGGGTGATCCTGATGAGCCTATGGTAGTTGGAATCTATTGTGGCATTGGGGAATTCCATGGGGTTGGATGGAGTTTGGAGGATGTGGAAAGTTGGTGGAGGACCACAACGAAGAGCTAACCACTATGAGCGCAAGAGCTTCAGCTGGACAGCAACAGACTGCAGCTCGAATATTGTTTTAGAGGAGGAGGAAGAGAGATGGAAGAGTTGCCTTCTTCAAAAATTAAGGAGATTTTTGAAATGTGGAGCAAGATGGAAAGATTTATGGAGAAACACCACCCCGACAAGGTCTTGCAAGCCATGTCGGCAACATGTTTGAGTGACAAAGTCTGGCCCATTTTAGGGAAGTTTTAAAGAGATGCCAGAAACAGAGCTCTTGGACACTTTTTTTTAGAGACAGGGCTCCAGTGACTCAAGCTGGTCCCAGTGGCCTTAAGAAACAAAGAGAGAAGTAACCCAGAAAAGGACTTGGTACCGGAAGTTTGATGGCAGTGGATTCCCTTCCAAACAGTAAATTTCCAATCTCTCCCCCCCTCAGTCTTCCATATGCTAAGAAGAATTGCCCAAAAAAGGTAAGCATTATGCTGTTAATGTTTCATTCATCATGTCCCATTGTATTGTGTATGTACATCTATATGTAAAAAAAATTTTGTTTTATACTCCTGGGTGTCTGGAACGGATTAATTGTATTTACATTATTTCTTGAGGGGAAAATGGTTTCACAAATCGCAATTTCGGAAATATTCACACTTTCTGGAACGGATTAATTACGAAAAACGAGGGTCCACTATTGTATGTTAGATGAGATGGATCATAAACTCAGAACACCTCTGCCATGATGTCTTTACTAATACTATACAGATTGTTGTTAATCTTAGACATCATTTCAGCCCTGGCCAATTATCAAGCTACTCGTGCTTGATAATGGCCAAGGACTGACTGAAAAATTTTCAATACATTAGTTTCATATCCAAATTATAAGTTACTTGTGAACTGTTACAGAAAACCAACTTTCTTTCACTGAAGTTTTATCAATAATAAATTATATAAGCACTGAGAACAATTAGTTATATTAATACAGAACAATACATCATTCAGATTATGCAAGATATACAAGATTATATAACCACTTACTTCTGTCTTGTAGCTGTTTGCATTAACAAACCTCTCAAATTCTGCATTAGATACTTCATGAGCATCCATATAAAAAGTATCTATCTCTATCCATCTGGCAGGGTGTCACCATCAGCATGAAAAATGGGGTCATTGGTGCCCATTATGAATTTGCCACCAGGAATTTCAACATTTGGTGGGTACATCAGAGTCATCCACTATGTTGTACAGCCTTACTATATTTAAAACTTGGTGCAGTATTCAGAGAATTCTCTGTTGTTTTATCATCAGGTTCATCAATTTCAACAATGCTTTCAGGTCTTCTCCTGCTTGTGGCAGCACATCCAAAATGTGTTTCATTTTCCTGTGGTACTGTGCATTCTTCCTTACTGAAAAAAGGGTTGGAGCACAAAATCCCCAAAATTCATGAGCCTATATTGCTTATTTGGCATTATGACTTTCTTAATGAAATTTTTCTGATGCAGGATAAAATATGCTCTCAACGGATGCAATCTGGAAAAAAAAAAAAAAGTTTAGGCATTTATTATAATGGAAGAGGAAAAGTGGGGGCAATTACAGAAGGGGGGAATAGCAGCAAGATTTCCACTTCTTTCTATATCAAAATCCTGCTATTAGTTACCCATGGGATCGCTTTCCATAAATTATCCACTGCCTCTAAACTGATGTCCTCTCTACACTACAGACAGTATTTTGGGACATCCATCACTACCTTCTTCATGCCCAACTGAAATCACTGCAAAACAGTCATTCTTTGAAGCAGAGGCAGACTGGCCATACAAGCAGTTGGGCACTGCCCGGTGGGCCGCTGGGCTGGGTAAGAAAAAAAAAAATTGAAAAAAGTAATGAAATTTAATTTTTAAGTGGATTTTATTTAGTTTTTTTTAAGCATTTTCTCCAGTTTCTCAGATAAGCAACATATTAATGAACAATGAGCCAACCTGATATGTGACGATGCCAGGCCCCCGGGTTATAAGACTCAATCCACTTCTGCTTTTCAGTCCTCTTTGTGCAATCCACTGAGGAGGTTGCAAGATATAGCCATAGTTCGACTTAATCTGTATGGTGTATCTTCATTGGAGTATTATTTATCTTTATGCTGAAATGGATATTTTTTTACCTTTGTTCCCAAACACAAATAGAGGGTCTTGTAATACTAAGTATGAGTCTTGTTATCTATGATCCAAGTTGTGTGCAAATTATGTTGAATTTTTACAGTATCACACTGAGAGGAAAATACTCTGGTATTTGGGTCATTAGCAGATGGACATTCTAAATGTTTATGTTCACTGTAACTGATAAGGTGTACCATGTGGCTTATTTGTAATTTGGGTAGGCATGTCACATGACTGAATAAATTTAAAAAGTTCAATTTTGGGCCCTTGAGATGCCGTCTTTCACACATTTAAAGGGATGACTTTTTGCTAATTTCTCCCATAATCACAATTTGCATGAGAAATAACCATTTTTGGGGGTATAAGAACATAAGAAAGGAGGAGCACTGCAACAGTCCTGCTACTCATGTTAGGCAGGTCCAACTATATACTTGTCCAACCTACATTTACAGCTACTCAAAGTTCTCACTTCTATGATACTAGGAAGTTTGTTCCACTCATCCACAACTTGAAAGCCAAAACATTACTTTACTATATTTTTTCTAAATCCACATATCTGCTCCACAGACTGTAGTTGTTCCAGTGTGGTTGTTCGACAGTGTATTTTGTTCTACAGATTGAGGTTATACCATTAATGTAATTATTCCAAGAAGTGTGATTGTTCCATGAAGTGAAGTTGTTCTACAGTGTGGTTGTTCCATGTTGTGTGGTTGTTCCATAGTGTAGTTCTCCACTACACTAGTTCCATAGTGTAGTTTCTCCCCATTCACCATGTAGTTGTTCCACAGAGTGTAGTTGTTCCACAGTATAACTTTCACAGAGTATACTTCCACAAATTGTAGCTCTTCCACAGTGTAGTTGTTTCACTGAGTATATTAGTTCCATGGAGTGTTGTTATTCCAGTGTGGTTGTTCCAGGGTAGTTGTCCACGAGTGTAGCTGTTACACAGTGTAGTTTTAGTGTATTTGTTCCATGAAGTGAAGTGTTTCAGTGTGGCTCCAAGTGTAGTTCCACGGAGAGCGTGTAATATAAAGACACACACTGCAAAACTTTGAACTTTGGCCTCAGAAGTTCCTTATAAATCGAGTTCTTTCTTTCTTTGTTGGGTTTATCAGGGCCACTGACAGCATAAGCTGTATCCAGCCCGACTTCTCGAGGCTAAGATTAGATAAGATTTCGTTCGGATTTTTAACCCCGGAGGGTTAGCCACCCAGGATAACCCAAGAAAGTCAGTGTGTCATCGAGGACTGTCTAACTTATTTCCATTGGGGTCCTTATCTTGTCCCCCAGGATGCGACCCACACCAGTCGACTTACACCAGGTACCTATTTGCTGCTAGGTGAACAGGACAATAGGTGTAAGGAAACGTGTCGAAATGTTGCACCCGCCAGGAATCGAACCGGGCCCTCCGTGTGTGAAGCGGGAGCTTTAGCCACCAGGCCACCGAGGAAAAATTGTTGCACAAGGCTAGGCGATGAGAGAAAAGGAACAAAAAGTTCCTTTGTAAACAGAGAACAGAAATTTGAAATTTACAATTAGATCCGGTGGATCCCTTTGCCAAGCCCACAGAGAGAGGGATGTCCACACTCCACCTGAGTTCAGTAACCGGCTTTCCACAAAAACCAATAAAGAATTATCCCCAGAACGGAAACAAAATAGAGCTGGCTAAAGTAAGTCGATGAACAGGTGCCCCTCCTGTAGAGTGCCGGCGGGCAAAATGGATGAGAACAAGCGTCCCAGTGAGAACGGAGGAAATTTGTCACATACTCAGGCGAAAGAGAGACGTCCACACCCGACGAAGACTGGCGCCATGAGTCGAGTTCCTTACAAGTCAAGAAGACTGCGCTTGAAGCTGTTGTTGTTGTTGTTGTTGTTGGGATTCAGGTTCCACCAAACCGAAGCTTTATTGAGCCATGCCTCCCGGAGTAAAAATTCGAATTCATATTATTTATGTCTTTGCAAATAGCACATTTATTTGTTTATTTATTTATTTAGTAATTTGAGCATACATTCAGAGGTACAAAAAAATACAGGTAAGACAGCATGCCAAAGCCACTTGCATGCAGAGCTATTATGGGCTGGCTTAAAATTAACTTAAGATTAACTAAGCAATGATGTAATCAGTGATAAAACATTATTGTAAACAGATTACTATAAAGCACAAATGAGTATTACAAAGACAGGTCTATGGTTGCATACATTGCTGTACATTCAGTCGAATGGATATTCTGTTAGGTAGTGTATTTAAAAAATAACAAAGTTATGAAGGATCCTTCCCCACAGGGGTTTCCCTTTCAAAAAAGGGTTTAAAATCGGGTTTGGGTTTTAAACATTTATGTGATATAATTGGAGAAAAAATTTAAGATATAAAATTTTTAAAAGGGTTTTTCGGGTTATTCAGATTTTTTTTGGGTTTTTGGGTGAGTGGGGCTTTCTTTGAGAAGGGGACTTTAATTTAAAAAACAGGTAGTGTTTCTTTTAAAATTACAGGTAATAAAATTCCCAAAATTTTTGGGGCCTTTTAGGGTTGCATTGGAGTTTTTGCATAGTGTAGAGGGAAACCGAGGAACATCAAGAGTGATTTGTGCATTGGGTTTTTGGGTCATGTGTTCTGTTAGGTTGGAAAGGGATTTTTGGGGGGAGGGTTAACATCCGATTTTAATGTTTTATGTATGTTTTGGGTTTGGCTTTTTTTAATTAGGGTTTGTTTTGTAGGGGTGGTGGGTTTAGTGTTTTAAAATTTTTGGTGGGTGTAAAACTGCTGTAGGGGGAAATTTTGTTATCATTTGACTGCACCCTTTTGTTGGGAAAATTTGTGGCTGAGAGGGTTAAAATTTGTTGTTACCCCCATGCACAGTTTCCGTAGGTGGGGATAGGGGTTTAAATAAGAGAGGGGATATGGGGCCCGGGGGGCGACTGGGGAACAAAAACCGTATTTTTGACAGTATCCCCTATGGTTTTGGGAAATTTTCTTAAAAATTTTTGTTGTATAAGTGTATAAAATTTGAGTCTATTATAGCCCGTTTGTATGCTTTGTAAAAAGTGGCTTTGGGATGCCGCTTTTTGTATTTTTTTTACCCCTGTAAGTGTTTCAAATTATAAAAAAAATAAAAAAAATAAATAAAGGGGGATTCCCAAGAATTTTCCCTCTGTTTAAATTTGTGTTTGGCGATTTCCCTTTATCATTATGTTAAGAGGGAAATCTGTTGCTTGTTTCCAAACTGAATGAAGTTTTTTTTGTCCCAATTTTTTTAGTGTTTAAATTTGAAAGTCCTTTATCCAGGGAGTATTTTCTGTGTTTTGGTAATTTACAGTATTGGCTAGCGTGACTGGGCCCCCGGGTGATGAAGACGTATGTAGTGTTCCCTCTGCAAAAAAAGGGGGGGTTTGAGTAATTTCGAAACATTTGGGAGGTCATTTATTATGGAGAAAGAGAAGAGGGCCCAAAGGGCCTTCCCCGTGGGAAAAACCAAAAGTAATTGGTTTTTCGGAAGAGTTTGTCCTTTTTCCCTACACATATTGGGTTCTGTTTTCTGAGGTAAAAGACTTTAGGTAGTTGAGGGGGGTGCCCCCTTTACCCTTGTGGGGACAATTTTAAAGTGGAGCAAGTCATGGTCAACTGTATCAAAAGCTTTACGTTTAAATCAATGAAAATCCCCATTGGGGGAATTTTTTTTTTCTCCATTGGCCCGTGTATATATGTTCTTAGAAAGTGTATAATTTGCATCATTTATTTTTTATTAGGGCCTGAATCCCAAAATTTGGGAGGGGGTTTGGGATGTTTTGGGAGATAGGTAGGGGTAGATTCGTTTAGAATTAATTTTTTGAAATTTTTGAGAGAGGGTGTAAGTTTGATTTTTGGGCCTATAGTTTTAAAACTCGGGTCTCCTCCTTTATGGATCGGGTGACCCTTGCTTTTTTGAAAAATGTAGGGAAGGGGGAGGATTCAATGGTTTTGTTAAAGATGTTGCAATGATTGGTATGACTTGTGACACTTTTTTGTTATAAGGGGGTGGTAAGTATTTTAAATTTCCTTTTTTTTTAGTGCGTTGA